TCTTAATATATATATACACACACACATACAAAGACACACATAAAAACACATACACATATATACAAAAAAGCAAAGCACATACACATTTATACAAACTAGCAAAAACTCATACACATTCAGGCAAACATACAGACACACATAACTACATACATAGACACATCGATACATACATAAATATATACATACAAAATAACAAACAAGGGAATATACAAACTAACATACATTCAAACAGATATACTATGATTTGTGTGTTGATTCGTTCTTTCATTAATCCACAATATAACGAAACTTGATTTCGTAAATGACGATTTAAGCTAACTTCAAATATATAAAAAATTAATACATTTGTTATAATTATTAATATTATTATTACCTTGTTTTGATGATGATGATGATGATAATGATTCAGTCGATGATGGCGATGATGACGATGATGGTAGCAGCGAAGCATTTCTCTCAGTGGTAGTGGCAACTGTAGAATTCAGTTTTTTAATTTCTTAATTAATTAAGTATAATTTAAATGAATTATTAGTTATTATTGGTAATGACAATGCTAACGATGATGATGGCGATGATGAAGATGATGATGAAGATGAATATGATGATGATGAAGAAGAAGATAAGGATGATGATGCTGATGATGGCGATTATGATGATGATGATGATGATGCTGCTGATGATGGTGATGATGATGATGATGATGATGGTGATGATGATGATGATGATGGCAATGGCAATGATGAAGACGATGACGATAAAAATAACTTTTGCAATCATTCTTCAAATTAGTTATTTTTTCTAGTTTTAAAAAATTCTATCTCGAAACTTATTAAAACACACGCCCGCACACACACACCCACGCACGCACGCACATACACACACACACGCACACTTTACCAATATATATATATTTTATTTTAACACCATTCCTGTATAATTACAAATAGGCTTTAGTAGAAGGAATGACTTCCGAGTCTCATGTGCTTAAAACAGGATTTCGGAAGACTATCAAAAATAACTTTTCGACCCTTTCGCTTACTACAGTATTTTTGAGAAATTTTGAACTTTGGTATGAGAACCATGGATATTATATACCCACGATGAAAACCTCCAGTTGTTATATGTCATCTGGCCTGTGGCAGTTGCTAATACAGTCAGGTTCACTCGTTTTAACGTAACAAATATATCTCCGTTTATAGTTTATGCTTATTTTCTCAAATAATTATTTATAATTTATGATAATTACCTGAAAATAAACAAAAATATCAAATTTTTCACCAATAATAGACGAAAAACAAGCCAGTATACATTCCGAAACTTAAAAAACACACGCCAACCTGCTATCGTTGCGGAGAAAAGTACCGTCACAACTACAGCGCTGCCTAAAACACTAAGACAAATGACCGCCAGTATAGTTTTTCGAACTTTCTTCAAGCTTTCACCGTCGTTCTCAGCAACTTCCACATTCAGACCGTTCTCCATTTTTGGAGAAAAAAATTTTAATATAAAACGAAAATAAAGTTAACGATTATTATTATTAGTAGTAGAAGTTGTAGTAGTAGTAGTAGTAGTAGTAGTAGTAGTAGTAGTAGTAGTAGTAGTAGTAGTAGTAGTAGTAGTAGTAGTAGTAGTAGTAGTAGTAGTAGTAGTAGTAGTAGTAGTAGTAGTAGTAGTAGTAGTAGTAGTAGTAGTAGTAGTAGTAGTAGTAGTAGTAGTAGTAGTAGTAGTAGTAGTAGTAGTAGTGGTAGTAGTCGAAAAATAAACTCTTCAAAATAAATTTTTGATGCCACACTAGCCGTTATATAGCGTTAAGGTGTTAGTTTATTTACCTTCCGAGTTGATTGGCATATATAAAATATATACATGTTACATATATATATAGAAAGAGGGAGAGAAGGAGAGAGAGAGAAAGAGAAAAAGAGAGAGAGAGAAAGAGAAACAGACATAGAGAGAGAAAAAGAGGGAACTATTATTATTATTGTAATTATTATTATTATAGGTGTGTTTGTAAGTGCCCTTTAAAAAGGTCTCAGTGGCACTAACTGTTATTGCAGTACGTTGCGTTGCACTTTACTAAGGGGCAATGCGATGTATGGAGAAAAAAGTCTTTAGCACGGGCGAGCCTGGACATGAAGATGGAGTTTCAACCTCTTAAGAAATTCAATAACAGACAACGCATGTTCACAAAGGTCCCTAGGCAAACCCTTCCAGACAGCAGGGCCCATTACGGAGAAATTCCTTCGACCAAGAGCCAAGTTTGTATCAGGTACAAACAGTAAATCTGAACTGTCAGAGCGCAATGTGTTTGACTCAGCACTGTTCTCTGAATGACTCTGTCAGTTAAATAATTAGAGACAACTACCTTAATACATTTAAAAACCATTAAACATAGTAATAGTAACTTAAAGAGAGAGAGAGAGAGAGAGAGAGAGAGAGAGAGAGAGAGGTTAGAGTAAAACATATAAATTGATATATAGATAAATACATTCATAATACTTTTGAATCTACCGAATGCGTAGAAATTAAATTCGTCATAATTTCATCTCTATACGACGACAGCAGTGGATTTATTTATTATCTTTTCAAAATAAAAATTGATTTTAATTATTTAGATATCCAGTCTTTAGTGAAATAAAAAATTTTAAAACTAGAATAAAAAACAGTTAACATGATGAATTATTCAGTTCGAATGTAATAGCTTAACTGAGATAAAAACTTTCGTGTTATATTTTGGCTGCAGTTAACCCACTGTTACATGATTTTTATATTTTAAAATAACTTAATTTTTTTCATTAATTAGTTAAATTCCCAAATAAACACGACAAAAATCATTTTTTTAAATTAAATCGTTTATTAATAAACACGGCTAACACTAAATAAAGCTAAGAGGATTAAAATTAGAAGTGGGTGTAAGATATGTCCATATTTGCTAAGTCAAACATTAAACTTGCCATATCAATTATATATTATGGTTGATGTTAAAACGTTATTCGTAAAATTAATAATCAAATGAAAGTTTAATAAACTTTTTTTTAAAGAATAAATTAATTTACAAAAATATATAATTATGAAAAATAGACCTGTGTGTGTGTGTGGTGTGTGCGTGCGTGCGTGTGGTGTGTGTGTGCGTGTGGTGGTCTTTTAGTACAGCAGAATGTACATTATTGAAACTACCCAGTATATGAAAAAATATCACAATGATTAATGATCCTGACTTATCCTAAGTTAAATCATTTAAAATGATTAAATTGAAAAACATTTTAAAGTAAGGAGTTCAAACGGATTTCTTAAAAGTTACCAAAAATACTACAATTTTTTTTAATTTCATAATTATTGCAATTTAATTCTAAAAGTTATATAAGTTTTCAACGTCAAATCCATGAAATTGTATAATCGAGTGCGTTCTTCATTGGCCTCTACTTCAACACGCAGACCTGAATAAACAAGGTAGCTATATTTATGTTACGTCCAGAAACTTTTGGCGTCAGTTGAAAGTCGATGGAATTGAATGTGATGTTTGTCCCGCTGAACTCCACTGATTCAGGTGTATACTTTTTATAAAAAATTTATTTAGTCAGTTATTGAAAAACTAATTCTTTATAAATATCAATAATTATGTCAATAAAGTAGAAAGTGTTCTGGGTTTTTTTTGAGTTTGAAGCTTGTAGGAGCATATATATCAGCGTCTATTTTATTAGCTTTAAAGCTACAACATGATTTTAGGGAAATTTGTGAAAACACGATATAGTTTTTGTGTGAATCAGTGTTGGGAAGTAACTAAGTAAGTTTTTTTAATTTAAGATGTCGGTAGTTTTGCTGTTGAGCACTGACTGCAAAAAAAACATTGGTTACAGTTCTTCGCAAGCATGAATATAATTTATTATATATACCCATGTTTGCAAACGTCAAATGTGACCGTACATAAATAGATAAAAAAAACTATAAATATTCATAATCACATAAACAGCAACCTGGTTGTCAACTGGAGAGCCTTGTTTAAATTGCTCGCCTGGGTGCGCAGTGGCCGTGTAAAACTGAACATTGCCCATGCCGATCGAGAACTTGATCAGGGTAGCGTTGAATGTCGTGTTGGTGAACGTGATCTTTGGATTTGTATCGGTCGCAACAGAATATTCCCGATTCAGAAGTGTTGATTGAGTAGATGAAGAAAATGCATATAGGGACGTAGCGTCGATTATACAGGCTGATTGGGGTAATAATTTTGATAGTTTAATAAAGTTCATAAAATATCTATTGGAAGAATGATAGCCTAATGGTTAAAGAGGCTCGGTCCATTTTTGCAGTGACTGGGTTCCAATGCAAAAAAGGTGAATCCCACCTATCTAAGGCATGATTTGTGGAAGATGCGTCGTCTATCAGGCATTCGTGCATGCAGTTTGCGTGTTGTTGATGCTTCTGATCTAGTTGTAAAAACTGTTTTAAGACTGTTATGGAAGTTTTTATTTTGGAAAATAATTGAAAACCAAACGAACATGTTGTTGTGGACACTGCAGTTGAAGTTGTCAACATCGTCATCGTCACAGCTGCTGATGCTAATGAATGTTAATTCTTTTGGATACAAACAAAATAAACAAATAGTTTTTAATTAAGATATTTTAATTCGACCTTACAGGAATTTTATTAAATGTTAATTTCATGGAGCTAAGTGAGATAGTTATAAAGGGCAGCAAAATTTTTCATCAAACTGTTCTTACTACTCGTCGTAGCAGTCGTTCCTGTGGCTGTCGACGTTGTTTCGGCGACTGGTTAGAAGAAAGTTATTTTTTGCTAGAAAAATTCATTTTAAAGGATTATTGTATATCCAAAAAATAAAATTAATCAGAACGTTTTAAATATTGAAAAATTAAACTAAAAAAATCATTGGAACGTGATATTAGAAAAAACCATTATAAAGTAAATTGAACTAAAGATTTGAAAGGTGTTAGACTCTGGAGCAAAACAAAATGCAAAAACGCCAGATCATTTTAGTTTTAGAATCTCAATTAACTTTCGAAAAATTGTTGGCAACTTTTTTTCATCCGCTAATTTCTACAAAAAACCAGTGCAAAAGTGTTTTACCGTATGGGCCACCCTATGTTCACCCTACATTAACCCCCACCCCTAAATGTTTTCCACAACAAAATTAAAACTTCAAGAACTACCTGGTGCTGTTGTAGTATTTGAAGTAGTTGGTGTGGCTATGTTGTTCTTCAATGAAACTGAAAGAAAAATTTTTATTGACATTTTAATTTTAAATATTATTTTATTATTATTGAAAAATAAAATTATTTGGTTTATGTTGTTATCAATATTAAAAAATTCTTCTTTCTTGTGCCTTATCCTTTCAGGACATTGGCGACCATCGACCCCCACAAAACCCGATCTTGAACACTTTGTAGTAGTTGAAATGTGGTGATATTCAACAAGTGGCACTAGGACTACACAAATGTAATTCGTTGTTGACCGCGACCTCTTCTCCCTGCAATCTTTCCAGTAGTTGCTAGATTTTCCATAATTTCCTTCCGCATGATGTGATTTGCAAGCCTTTACTTTCAAAAACCAGTTTGGAAACAATTGTTTGCAATTTTTCCATTGAATTTGCTATAAGAGCCGTATCATCAGCGTATCTTACATTGTTTTGTAATTTTCAAAAACCATCGACAAACACAAACCAAATCAAAATATTATAAAATAGTTCATTTATTTAATTTTGTTTAATTCAAAATCTGAAAAAATAAGTCTATAAAATTAAAAATCTAATAATTATCCTCAATTAGCAAACATAATATAGAATGGAAACAGCAAAACACAATGAAAAACTAATAGATAAACAAACAATCAAACAAGCAAATAATTAATCAACCAGTTTAAACAAACAAACTAATGAATGAACGAACGAATGAACGAAAAGCAAACGAATGAACGAACAAACAATCAAACAAACAGACAGAACAACAAGCAAACAGACAGACAGAACAACAAGCAAACAGACAGACAGAAAGACAGACAGACAATCAACTAACCAGCCAACCAACCAACCAACCAAACAAACAACTAATAAACAACGAAAAATTCAACAAATGCCATCCTAACCAGCAACAGTAGAAGCTACAACGGCAGCTGTGAGAACAGCCGCACACAAAGTGCTCACCACAACCACCCAAATCGTGTTATTAGTCCCAACTGCTACAACTTTCGTTACCACACGACGCGCCCGCCGACGAGAACGCGATCGATTCGCTTGCATAATTCGATTGTAAGAATTTTTTTAAAGACACTACAGATAAACTTTGATTCTATTAAAATTAATTGATTAATTAGTACAAATATGGTTTATTGAATTATTTAATATATAAACTTTTTGACGTTCGAATTCGAAAAAATAAATGTCGATTTAAAAAACGAATTTTTAACAACAAAGCGTTACATATTATTTTTTAATTTAATAAAATAACGAAATCATTAACCGATTAATTAATTAATTAATTAATTAATTAATTAATTAATTAATTAATTAATTAATTTTAACTAATTAAATCACGCCATTGCTAACGAAAAAAAAACAATTAGATGAAATAAATAAAGTTTATCTCATATCTCATCAACTTACATACGA